CAGATACTTTTATCATGGTTATTAGATGCTGACAACAGGTTTTAAGCACGAATCACATTTCAGGATCATTATTTTATGGTTCTCTAAAAGTAGAGCAACCTTGTGCAAATAGTTAGCTGTTATTTGAATCTGACCAGCTAGAAGCCTCTTCTCCCATAACCCAGATCATAGATAAAATTAATTTTCACACTTTTTGCGATTTTGTAGTTATTCTGCTTAATTGTTTGCACCAGCTAAATGTATCCATCAGCTGCCAGACCCCTGCTTATTTGTGATCAGTGTTAACCCAGCATTTTCCAATTTCTGTGTGATATGGTGAACAGAGCATTCTGCTGAGAGTCGGAGAGACCCAGTGTTCTACCCTGGCTCTACCCCAAACTAGCTGTGTGACTTTGAGCAAGTCACTTGACCTCTCTGAACCTATTTATCTGGGGTTTGGAATAGTTAAATGATAAGAGCTCTTCTGGCTATAAAATTCTACAATTGGCTCCCCATATATCCTTTTCATTTGGGACCACTTATCTCACCACTGTTGGCTCATGTTAACTGCTAAATGCCATAGAACAATTTTCTAAGTGCTTATTTCAGATGATATTGAAAGCTCCTGGAAAACCTTGTCTTTTGGCATTACCATAGATATGTGTAAATGATAACCCGTTTCCACTTTACTATACATTGCTAATGGCAATGTTGTACCCCCACACGCACATGAGCTCCATAGGTCTAACTTATTAATGGTCTATGCTAATGCAATTTCCAGAAAGTATACTGTTATTAAATTTTCTGGAATTTCAACACAGCAAAACAACATATAACTGCTTGATAAATTACTCTGAATAGATTTAGTAGTTTGTGTAAGGGTGGCTCTCATTTATGTAAGAAGCCTAAATCCATTTAAAGTTAATTTCTAATTTTCTTATATTTATGTCATTCAGAAATACACTGCTGGTCCAGGAGCAATCTTTCCAAAACCCAAGTGAACTATTAATTTTGTTTGGGTTAAAGCATAAAATGTTAGTGTACAGAATCCACAATTTGCCTGTTACTCTCCAGTCTTTCCAAATATGGTCTAGGAATTTTTTTCTCATGTGACTGAGATTTCACACAGCACTTCTGCTTTTTATCTTAAATACAGGGGAAAAGATAGATGGGTTTATTAAGGCACAGTTCCTAGCAAAGATCAAATTAACACAAAAATTTTCGTGGGCTAAGCAAAATGCATTTGATACTGCTTTTAATGATTTAGATGAAGATATAGTGCACAATTCTGGGGCCCTTTTCTTTTGAGCTTCTACTTACCAAAAAAACACAGATGAAGATGCTACTTCCTCCTTGTCATCATTACTTTAAAATAGACACTTCCTAGTTGAATTCTGTCTGATACTGTGCTAGGCACGGTAGGTAGGGCCGTTTATCCAGTTGGAAATGCTGCCCATGATAAAACAAGGAGATAACAGTAAGATGGATTCACCCACACAGAACATGCAGATTACAAACTATAAGTATCGGGTAGAATTCCTACCGGAAATGAAGAAAAGTGTTGAATTTTAAATGCTATGCCCCAGTAACATCTTTTGCTCTAGGCTTCAGCAGACAGTTAATTACACACGTGTGCACATACTCTCACAAACAAACGTACACAAAGTTCAGCAGTATAGACCAGTGATTTAAGAATGACTCACAAACACCAACTGATATTTCTGCTGGGGGATAATCTCTTTCAGAATTTGGGAAGTCCATAATGAAGTTGGAAAGGAACTGAGGTGATTGATTTTTTACTTGTTTTAACCAAATTCATTTATTTATTCATTTACTTAACATTTATTGAGTTTTTGCTATGCGCCAAACAACACGTTTCTGCTAAGTTCAGTATAATTCATGATAGAAATAAGATATTCAAGAAAGAAATCACTCCGGTTCCTAAAGCATTTTCATCCCCAAATTTGCAAACCAAGTAAAATGGATGAAATACTGTTAAAAAAATATTTTAAATCTGATTTTTAAAATCAAAGAAAAATTAAAGAGATACTACCTTAACTATCTTTTTATGTTACCACTAGAAATATTTCAAAATCTTATCTCAGGCATTCTTTTGTAATAAACCGAATATATGATCCATTGCATTTGACTTTGAAGATGCAACTAATCTGGTATCCCTAGATTATCTGAAAGTAGATGATCCGAATCACTGTCACTTAATCTTCAACGGGGCATCTGCCTCTAGGCAGAGATAGCCATTTGAATGAACGCAAAGGTAGCTAAGAGTCATGTTCCAAGCCAAGTATGGCGAAATAAATGCCCAGGACATGTCCATTAAAGATACATTTGTTCATCATTTCAATGTGGCATCCTTGGGTTTGGAGATAGCACATCAGGAACCCTTGCCTAACAACCCTCCCACGGATAGAGTGAAAACTTCCTTCTTAATTTTCTCAGCTATATAACTAGAGCAACCATACATCCCATTTACTCAGACCATTCAAGCTTACTCCTGTTATCCCAGGATAATTATGAATAGCTTCTATTCATGTGTTCAGAAAAGGCCCTGGTTACAGATTATTTATGACACAGGTCTCCAAATCATAATACATTCAGCAATACATGATATATACCCCAGAACTACTGCATCAGAACAAATTCTAGTCCTGACCCAGCACCGGAAATGCAGCAGGCTGCAAAGTTACAGACACCTGCTAGAATTTATAAACTTCGTCCCCCATGCAATGGACACTTTTTTTTTTTAAGAAACAGGCTAAACAAACTACTCTGTCTGATTCATCAACATGACCTATAGGCATAAGGGCTGTTGAACCGTAACTTGCCTCTATCACCCGCTGAACTCAATTAAAACTTCTCGGGACGCATCTAAGCTTTACTGCATTGTGCACAAAGCCTGACTCTGTTCTGAACTTCTTAAGAATAGAAAATTTATCTTATCCATGTTGGTGTCTCCCAATGCCTTTAGCACGCAGCCTGATTTGTAAGACCACTCAATAAATGTTTGTTGAAATGTCTGGAGCATCCAGTCAAAACACCTGGATGGTTAGCCTAATTCTTTACTTTCCTCCCAGCCATTTATCATCATGTAGATCCAAAGAAATCCAGAGAACAGACCAACGCCAGGCCTGCGAGCATTTGTGAAGAGGGGTTGCCCAGGTGCACATGGAAGGAAGTAACATCCACACTCAAACCACTGCTTCCCCACCTAGTAACTTTTCCATCTATCTTCATATTCTTTCCTAAGGCAACTAAATGGCCACATTCTACAACCCAGATAGTCTGGAGGTAAGAGCCAGGTCTTCCCCAACAAGCCCATCAACAAAACAGTTGTTTCCACCTGGATCCCCACACAAATTGAGCCAGAGTTCAGACAAAATCTTGCTAAAGAAGTATCAGTGCCTGATGCTCACTTGCATAGCATCTAAGGAAGTCCTGACTCCACAAAGAGACCAGCCACACCGATGGGAGAATAATAAGGAGGTAACGGAGGAGTTTAAAATAATTTTTGCTCCTTCTGTCTTTTAAAAAAGTGGAAGTTTGTCCACAAGACAGTAGGAACTGTAGTATTTGAATAAACCCTCGTTGATTGTGCTGAAGCATTTTGCTCTCGGTTTTCATACTCAAATTTTAATTTGTGATTTTTCAAATCACAACTTCAGCACACTTGTGATTTTTTTTTCAGAACACCCATGCATATTACATACATGTGCTAATTGTGTCTCATGGAACGACTTCTATGAACTTACTACATGGGATGGAGTCAAAACTGTCATATAATTTGGCGTTGTTCTGGTAAGAAAATGGTTTTCGACAACACCCATCCACCTCTGAAAAACAACAAACAAGCAAAGCGGATTTCAGGCTGGAAAGAAAGGATATAAAGAGTCGGGCCCTGAATACAAGACTCCACATTCACATAACACGTTCTTTCGGAAGGTTTGAGTCTGGGAGCTTTCTCCTTTCATCGGCGGACATAAAAGTTGTTTCAGTAAGAAGTAGGGAACAAAGGAAGACTTTCATTTACAAAAGCAAGTCTAATGGCACAGTGTCTGTTAGGAACTTTTATTTATGCCGCACCTGGCATTATTAACTATCTGTGGGACAGAATTGCCGGTGCCAACACTGACAATGAAATAGTGTGTTTCTGCATCCAACACATAAACCTTTGTCATGTGCATGTGAATGCTGGGCCGCTGTCAGCATCGTGGGTTTTGACTGAAGAACTCTGGTAGAGGGGAGGCGTGCCTGCCTTCTTTATGGGGCTGGTCTGCCTCCCAGATTTTGCAAACAGAGGACCATCCCCGGAAGCTCTGGTTTGAGCCTTCTACAGTTTTTGCCAGTTCCCAACTGCTGTGCACAAATTTCAGTTCTTCCCCATCTCCAGGTAATGGTCTCTGAAATAGCCTTGCAGACAGCAGATGGATGAAGTCAAACTGGGGAAATCTTTTCATTCATTTCATAATTCCTCCTAGTCAAAGCAAGGTTTTGGAGTTTTTAATTATTAAGTCTCTAACTCCATCTAAAAGCATTATCCTTCCTTTTTTTTTTTTAAGATTTTATTTATTTATTTAATGGACAGAGAGAGATCACAAATAGGTAGAGAGGCAGGCAGAGAGAGGAGGAAGCAGGCTCCCTGCTGAGCAGAGAGCCCGATGCGGAGCTCGATCCCAGGTCCCTGAGACCATGACCTGAGCCTAAGGCAGAGGCTTAACCCACTTTTTTTTTATTATTTTTTATTATTTTTTTTATTATTTTTTATTATTTTTTTTAAAGATTTTATTTATTTATTTGACAGACAGAGATCACAAGCAGGCAGAGAGGCAGGCAGAGAGAGAGAGAGGAGGAAGCAGGCTCCCTGCGGAGCAGAGAGCCCGACGTGGGGCTCGATCCCAGGACCCTGGGATCATGACCTGAGCCGAAGGCAGAGGCTTTAACCCACTGAGCCACCCAGGCGCCCCTTTTTTTTTTTTATTTTAAACAAAGTCCAATTTTATTCACTCTTAATACCCTTGCAGTCCATTGTATACCTTCTGCACTGATCTTTGGTTCAGTAGCTGTTTGATGCCTTCTCTTGCTTCCTCTGTTAATTGTTCTTTTGGAAAATCCACATCAAAAGTGATTATCAAAGAGCCCTTGATGTTGTTGTTGTCAAAGTTGGGGAGCCCTTCTCCTTTCTTCCATAGCTTGGCTCCTGGTCTGGTGATCTTATCCCGGGAAATATGTACCTTGTGGCCATCCAAGTGAGTAATATCCATATCAAAGCCCACCAGAGACTCTACTAGTGAGATTGTCACATTTTTGTATAAATCATCTCCTCTCCTTTCGAATATTGGGTGTTTGACAACTTTGATTTGGAACCGTAGGTCCCCTGGCTCTCCATCCACATGAGGCTCACCTTCTCCAATAAAGGGGTACTCCATGCCATCTCTCACCCCACGTTCTATTTCTACCTCCAGTGTTCGTTCTTCATTCACTAGTTTGACGTTAGGGCACTCATCACAGACCACCTCCTGGGTCATCTGGAAACGCCCATGGCCCAGCTGGGTAGTCCACATCTCTTGCCGGCAGTTGCATTTTCGTTTGCCCGGAGCCTGCCTTGCCACAGGTTTGTTCCGAACTACTTCCACAAAATTTCCTGCATATACTTCTTCCAAAGTGAAGGCACCCCCCTTCCTTTTTTTTTTTTTTTTAACCAAAGAAAATATGATCCAGGTACATAGTCATGTCTTGCTCTGCTAAGGAGAGCAAGTCTAGTTTTTGGATTAACCTAGTTCAAAGCACAGAAGGAAACACACACACAAAGGACTAAGACCGTGTTTCGTTGAAGACATCACTTCATCTCTCCCTTTATCAAACTTCCTCGTAGATATAAAAAGAATCTTGGCCAAGAGAATCTCAATTTCCATTCCAACTCTAACAGGAGTCCATGATGCTCTAAGAGGAGCCTCGCTTTGCTACCCTGCACATTTTAGTTGGATGTGAAAATTGTATTTTCAATGCATTTAAGTGCTGATTATAATAGAAAAGAAAGATTTGAGCTAAGAAACCTGCAGATCCTGACCATCAGCTCCAGTAAATTTGCAGGTTCAATATTATATTCTGCTCTGATCAAATAAATGCAGATAGAAAGCTAACCAGATACTCAGACAAAGTCTGACAAAGCTATCCAGTAACAAGTTATATGCTTAATTTGCTCTTAAAAAGAAGCTGGTGCTGCATTTAATCCATATTATAGCCTCCAAGAGCTCAAAATGTGGGTTGGGATTAACCTCTAGCCAATTTTAAACCACACACACACACACACACACACACACACACACACAAACATAATCTTTTGGAAAATATGAAGTCTTTAGTAAGAATCATTTCTTCCTAAGTATGCCACCAGCAGAGAGTCCAGAATTTTACCATAACACTTGAGAACCCAAATATTAAAACTGCAGCTTTTCCTTTTGGTTTTCAAACTTTTTTTTTTTTAAAGATTTTATTTATTTATTTGACAGAGAGAGATCACAAGCAGGCAGAGAGGCAGGCAGAGAGAGAGGAGGAAGCAGGCTCCCCGCCGAGCAGAGAGCCTGATTCGGGACTCAATCCCAGGACCCTGAGATCATGACCTGAGCGGAAGGCAGCGGCTTAACCCACTGAGCCACCCAGGCGCCCCTGGTTTTCAAACTTTTAAAACCCATTTTACTCTCTCCCGCCCACAAGCCTTTAATTTAGAAAATTAGAATTATAAATTTTCTCCTCTTTCCCAAAATCCAAAGCTCGGTCTCTTCCTGCCCACCCTCCATCTCACCATGGAATGATTGCATATTGCCTGGCTTTCCGAATGCAGCAGCCCCAACCAGATTAGCCAGGAGCAAAACTGAATTCACCATGTGACACTGAATTGCTGGAGTGCCCATAAAAGCTTGTTGCAGAAGAGAGTGAAGGAAACTGTCTCCAATTCCAAAAAAATACTCCTCTGCCCTCAAAAGGGCAGCTTGCAGAAGAGCTGCCCACATCCTCTTTGGGGTCATGCTTTCATTTATTCCCTCAGTTGGTCATTCCCTCCCGGTGGAGTTCAGGCATTTCCTGGGTAGGTAGCCCACACTCTGAGCTCATCAGAGCTTTTCTTTGTCACTGGAGCTGTTAGCTACATTCTGAGTTCCCATGCACCACACACTTGGTTGAAGCTGGGAGGGGGTGGACAGAAAAGAAGTACACAGATGTAGAGTTAACATTTATGTCCTATAGGGATACCCTTGAAACTTGTTAAAAAATGTCAGTCAAGACATCTGGTCAGCTGTCCTAATCCATATTGGGGTTTTTAGGCTACTGTTATGCCCCAATATGCTTTGAACATTGCCAATATGCTTTCTCCACAGAAGCAGCAGTGTGTCCCCTTTGGTTTCTCAGTTCGTCCCCAGCACTAGTATTTATAGTGTCACGTACCGAGCAAAATGAAAAACCACATACTGTATCTTGTGTGTCTGGCTAATGAAACGGGTCGGACAAACCTTGTGCAATCAGGGACGGGGGCCGATTGGCTTAGGCCGGGTCCATCTTGCAGACTGCAAAAGAATCAGCTGTCGCCAGTGCCATGCAGCAGATGGACAGTTTGCATCCGATTTCCAGTCAGGCGCCAAACCCTTTAGAAGCTTTGGCAGCCCGAGCACTATCAGGCAGCAGCCTTTGATGTCCTACAGATGGCTGTGGCGGCCATCTTGCTTTTGCTTCCTGAGAGGCCCAAGTCTTACTTTCAGGCAGCATTCACTCTCGCCTAGGCCCCTGGTCAGCCAGAAACACAGATCCCTGGTCTGAGATGCACTTGACACTAGCCAAGACCTTCCACCAACTTCTACTCCTATGTGGATAGCAGCTAAAAAAAATTTTTTTTTCCTCTAAAAAAGTGTAATACACACATAGAGATACCCCTGATCTGATTCTTCCTACTTCAGATTTCCTGAGGTAAACATGCCTCTTTACCTCTTTCCAGATCACTAGTCTAACCCCTAGACAATGGCTTTCTTTTTCCCCAGTACTGCGAGATTTTTTTTTATACTTCTCAAAACCTCCCACTCGTGTCTACTTCTGCATAGATGACATAGGCACCCAGATTTTCCTTTAAAACAAAAAAAAGACAGAGGGAAAGAAGGAAAGAAGGAAGGAAGGAAGGAAAAATAACTAAAGAAATAAATTATGAGCTGCTTCCTCCTTCCTCCAGATTTCCTGAGGTAAATAATGTCTATTTTCTCCTTCCCAGGTCACAAGTTTAGCCCTCAGACAATCTCAGACTCCTTCTTTCCCCTGGCATTGCCACCCAAAGTGGAAGCAGTTGGGTGATTTCAGAATAATCAGGATTGCAAATTGGGAGGTTTTAAATTTGGTGTCCGTTTTAAGGCCCCTCAGAGCACTGCTTCATCTGGGTCTGACTTGCCCTAAGCCCAAAAGCAGAACAAAGCATCGTCTTCATGGCGGTTGGACTAATCTCGTGCCATGGATAGCCCAGAGTAATCTGTCGAAAAGCTGAGCCTGGAGGTTTTCCAAACGGAGCCCCTGCACATTTGGTAGGAGCAGTTAGGAATTCTGACTGGCACTATTAGTCAGAAGTCATGTCATTGCACCGGAGAAGCAAGCATGAGTCTCTCCTGCCCGCAAGACCAACCTAGAAATTTCCACCTCCTTTCACATGCTCTTGATAGAGCAGGGCAGGCAAAGAGGTTTCGAGCAAGTGGCTGACAAAAAGTAAAAACAAACTCAGTGAAAATAAATTCAATAATGTGTGATTTCCAGCCACTCAAAAGTAATAGAAATATTTGGTAAAAATATATAGATATAAATTGCCAATTAATGCAAACTGGTTAAAGCCAGTAAATGGAAAAAAAGAAAAAGTTAATTAGAGCTTTTTGAAGCTTTGTTATATATACATCATTTGCAGGTGCTACAAAAGTGAAAAATAACCATTATAATTACTAGTATTCAAAGATTCATATTTTTCCCATGTAATTTATTTAGGATTATCAGTTTCCTTGTAGTTATACAAAAGGCCTGTCAAGGTGTTTCCCACGTGTTTGGCTCGTATGTGTTCCAAAAACAAGCCAAAATGCTGTTGTATTTCACCCAGTACAGGGAAGCTACTCTGAGTTGGGAAAAAAAAAAAAAAAAATAGGCCAAGTTTTACCTGGATCTCTATCTTGGTTAAATTATCTGACGTATGTTTTAATTTTTTTTTCTTGTTCTTACTGTCTTTATCTTTCTCTCTCTCTCTTTGTTAAAATACATCTGTGTTTGTTGACTGCCCCAGATTATATCTAAGTGAGGAGTAGGTGTACTAGCACCTGGTATAGTATATGTAGCTTAACAATACATATCATTACATTATTTACAGCTCATTTTATGTTATTCAATAGTAAATTGCAAATTAACCCTTCAAGAACCAGTTGGAGAAAACGCTCGGTTAGGCATGAGACATTCGTTGAAGCTTCCGTGCCCCTTAGAATTGTTAAGAGTACATCTATAACTGTATTCATAAACGGAGAAGTGTGTTCATTACAGAAGGGATGCCCACCAGAGCCAGCTAATTCCTCTCTCAGGAAATCTGTTTCATAATGATATTCCTTACTACACCACACTTGTACTTATGCTGATAACACAGGTTATAAAAGGGACTTAGGACTGGAGTCAATTAATGTACTGGCTCTTTAACCTCCTTTATTAGAGTACATTAGGCACCAAAGGGACTCAGTGTAATGCTGCTGGCAACAGAAAGACCCGAGCGATGCCATTTCGTGCCGTCTCAGCCCTGTGTTGGGTTCACAGGGATCCACATCCCGATCTGACCTCATTAGGCACTGATTCCACTGCAGTCCAGTTCAGGCACCCGGGGCGGAAGGTGGGTGAGCGTGGCTGCCGAGCAAGCACATTCTCCCACGCCTGATGAAGGAATCTTCACTCGAGGCGGCTCCCGGGTCCATGGCACCTGTTACTCAGTTGTCGCAATTGACTGTCTTCTAGATCATCGAGTTCTGCCCACGTTCACGTGTGGGGGAATTGAGGCCCTGAGAGGCAGAAACAGCTAATCTGAAGTTACCCAGCTTGTTAGGAGCAGAGAGCCCGGACGAGAGAATTCAGAATTCCCAGTTCCTAGAAGGGGGCTCCCACCTGGCTCCTGGTGCTTTGTAAACACGAAAGGCAATCATTAATGAGCAGGCATGAAAGATGAGACCCGGGGAAGGGAAAGGAATGGAAGCATAAATATAAATAAATTCTAAAAGAGAGAGAGTGCTCAGGAATTTTAAACTGGATTGCAAAGAGAAATTACAAGTTTCAAAGTAAGTTCTCTTCGCTAATAAGAAATCTGGTTTCTCTTTTCTCCCCTAATTAGCATTAATGGGGAAATAAATGTATGTGTTGAAGCAAAATTGAAGGCATTCTTAATAATGCGCAGTTCTCTAAAAGGAGGATATGATATAATCTGAGGTGAGAAAGAGCCCGCTGCCGCTGTGCTACCCAACACTGCCGCTACCCTTTGAAGAGCTCAACAATGTCTTGTTCCCAAATTAATCAGTCTCAAGACTATCAGCAATTTAGCTACATTTTGTCGGTAATTAGCTTGATAAATTAAGATCTGCAATAGAAAACATGGCATCTTATTGTTCCTGAGGTTTTATGGTATTTTTCTAAAAACAGCA